ACACAGCCTGCAGGCCACATGCAGCCAGCAGCCTGTTTTGTTTGTGGCTCACGGTGCAGTTTGGGTTTATGGGGGGCTCAACACGTGGCCCACAGGTGGAGCCAATGTAATGGTCTTCTGTTGACATGGGTTTAGTCGTTAAAATCCTGGACTGTCATTGCTCGTTAAAAGTGCTGTCCTATGGGTGGAAATCGGGTAATATCAGCAGAACTGACTTAAACGGGGTCTGTGTGTCGTGTAGTTTTGCCTTAATCTTTGTATTCATGCCCGTCAGTGGCAAAAGCTATTTGCATATATATTTGCATGTAGATGCAGCCACACTTAAGTTGCGGCCCTTAGCATGTGCTGTGAGTATCATTGTGGCCCCTGGGGCTTCCGAAGTTGAGTAGCCCTGTTATAGCCCATCGCCAATCTGCTGCGCCATATGCAAACTTTCCTCACTCTCCCCTCCTCCTCCTCAGTGCCTTCTCCCAAGCTTTGGAGCAGCGCCGACTGCGGGAGGCTCTGAGGTGGTGGCACCAGAAGACACTTCAGCTGAATCCTCTTAACCACGATCCCAGGGCACCTCCTGAGAAGCCTCTTGCCTTGCTGGATTCTGAGTCGTCGTCTTTGTCTTCTGGTTTCCACAGCAGCTCCCTCGCTCCTCTTGTTTCCCATGGCTTGTTGGAAAAGGTGAGAGTCCCACTGACAATCCTGTCTGCACCCATGCAAATGTAAGAGCAGGGGTGTTCAGCTTCAGGGGGGCCTGGGACTTTGAGGCAGTGCTGTCTAATAGTGACAGCAGTGCACTGGCAGTCTGCAGTATATTTCTGCCACTGATTAGCTGGGCGGCTTTGGGCAAGCTATTGCAATGCTTCCCCATGTGAACGTCAGCCCTTCCCCCCTGCCGATGTCGCACTGACCTGCTGCCCTTCACCCGAGTCTCTCAAAATTAAATCGCCCTCATTTTCAGATGGGGAAAGTGAGGCACGGATAAATGATGCCTTACGGCACTGAAATGCTGAGATTTGAACCTATTCTGCTTCGGCACAGCCCCCCCACCAACAAGCTGATCTGCTTGGCCTTAGACTTGAAGGCTCCGATGCCAGGGAGTTGGTGTGCTGCCGAGAGTCCTCCAGGCCCGATCTGAGAGAACTCCGAAGGGAAATCTTTCTGGTCCTGCCAGTCCGCAGTGAGGGGTTAGAGGGCAGGCTCCAGGGAGCCCCGGGCTGATGGTTCTGCTGTGTACTCATGACATCTAAGTAGCTAGATAGAGATCTCTTTGCCATCACATGTGTGCCCATATCATACTGGCTGGCAAGAGCGCTCTCTGGCAGCAGAGGGATGGATGCATCTCCGCTCTCCCTAAGCACAGCGGCTAAGAGGGCTGAGCATAGGAGTTGAGGGTCATTAGCAGAGTGTTGGTTGCTAGGTACACTAAACATACAGCTACATGCTTTCCTCTGTGACCAGGAGAGCAGCTTCTGTGACAGCAGCCGGAACAGTCTCTCCTCCTTCCTGACCACCGAGGATAGCACACATCCATCCCCGCGTGCCTGCTCTCTGCAGCAGCACCGCTGCCCAGACCTTCCAGCCGGGCTGGGGGAAGAGCTCTGTTTGCAGGCGTCCTCTCCTCTGCAGAGTCCCCGCGGCGGGTGAGTTGGATCCTGGAAAGAGGTGGCTCTTCTGTACAGATGGAGGTGGATTGGGTGGCTTCCAGCTACTCTTTCCTCTCCATCCCACTCCACCAGCAACGAGAGCTCAGCCTGGTGCCTGTGTCTTGCAGAGGGAATCAGTTGATGGGAGGCTGGCTCCAAGCGGCAGCTCTGTGTCGACCCTACAGCAGGATCCAGCCTCTTGCCCGTTACTCTGCATGGGAAGAAACGAGGTTCCAAAGTGACGCTTGGCAGGTAACGAAGGGTTTCTCTGTACTGCTCGATTCACTGAAGTCTTTGGGTGTCAGCCACTGCTAACCCCACCCTGGACCTGCCCGCTCTCAGTTGGGTGAGACGGTTCGCCCAACAGACAAGTGTGCGCCGCGGTGGCAGACGAGCAGGGAGATTGGCCCCACAGTCCAGAAATGGAAAGGATCCGGTTTGACTTTGGTGGAGGGGTTTGGCGGTGCCGAGCGCAGCGTTGGTGCAGGGCTCGTGGGTTAATCAAGGTCACAGCAGCAGTGAGAGAGAGGAGGATGAATGGGGTCCAAACTCTTCTGGAGCCAGTGGGGCCGACAGGCTCGCTGGACTCCTGGACAAGGTGGGGAGGGAAGGGGACATCTCTGTATGATTAGAATGGGCGGGGCCTTGGGCAGAAGGGGTGGGGCTAAAGGCTAGCCTTTTCCCAGGCAGCCCTCCGTGCCGTGTGGGGCTCTGACGGCAATTTAAGGGGCCTGGGGCTCTGGCCATTGCTGTAGTAGGGGCAGCCGGGAGCCTCAGGCCCAGGGGCAGTTGTCCCCTTTGTGCCCCCTCCATTGGCAGGCATGGCTGGATTCCAGACCCCTTTCTGGTTTGTTGTGTTGCAGGATTACGGTTCTGGAGACGAACTGGAGAGTCCCTGCGGCTCCCTCTGGCACCAGGCAGAGCGACGGCTCCTGCAGGAGTATTTTTTGGTCTGGTCTGCTCGGACTCAGCAGCATATAAAGACCCAGCGCTATCCCGGTAGGAGCCCTAGAACCAGCTGATACTTGTCAGACACTCTTCTGCTGGCATCGTTTCCAGACAATCTGTAGAAATGGTTTCTGGGTGAAAATAATAGTAACCATCCCTCGCTCTTCTTATCCATAGCTCTCAAAACTCTTCGTCTAGGAGCTTGGCAACATTATCCCTATTTTACAGATGGGGAAACTGAGGCACGGAGTGGCAGTGACCTGCCTGAGCTCACCCAGCAGGTTATAGGACACAGATCCTTAGAGTTTCAGCACTAGGCCACCTGGGCCTTGAGCTCTGAATTAGGCCCAGGATTTTCTTTTCTAGAGTTCACTCCCCTCTCCCTCCCCTCTTCCCCCACCTTCTGGATTTCTTTTATTTCCCCCTCTCCAGAGCATGGTTTAGGAGCCCCTCGTTGTAGGCTGGGCAAGGAACCTCCTATGTAGAGACTGGCATGTCTGAACAGAACAGCAGATCAGCTTGCCCTGCTGTCTGTGAGAGTGGCCAAACACCCCCCACCCCTCCTGTCCTCATTCAATGCTCAGTGCAGTTCAAAAAGGAAAGATTAGGGCCTAAATTAACCCCCAAAACTGCCTAGGGGATTTAGACACACAGTTCCCATCGAATGTATGTGTTTTGTATGTCTCAATCCAAAGCTATTTGTCTTAAAACTACCTATGATTTTCCAACTGGCTACGCTCACCATGGTCCAGTACGATGCACAATCTCATGGTTAGAGCAGAGAGCTAGGAGTCCCGATGCCTGCATTTACTTCCTGGCTCTGCCACTAACTTGATTGTGATCTTGGACAAGTCACTTAACTTCAGTTCCTCAGTCTGCCCATCTGTAACATGGGAAGATATTCATGCCCACTCCTCGGGCTGTTATGAAGCTTAATTAATGCTTGTAAAATACTAAGCTCTCAGCTGGAAGGGGCTGCACGTATGCCAAGCACGAGTCCACTGCGTATCATTGGGTAAGAGCTCTTCCCCCAGCAAAGTGATCCCAAGTGACATTCCCAGTGTACTTTGCCTGGCTGTTTAAAACCAGGTCTGATGTAATTGCTGACGTTAGTCTCTCATGTGTTCTGCAACCCTCCCCCCAGGGCACTTCTTGGCTGGCACAAGTGGGTTGTGGAAGATAAGAAGCGGAAAGCCATGGCATCCCAATACCATGGTCTCTGTTGCTGCCAGGCTGCCTTTGACTTGTGGAAGCGGCGGCTAGCTCAGAAAGTGGAAGCTGACAGGAGATTCAGACATCAGATCCGCCAAACGGCAGCAGACGCCCTGCAGTGCTGGCATACCTGCTGGCAGAGTGAGTTAAACCAAGGCATAGCAGGTCCTGAATGCTGTTTGTAGAAGGTGATGAAGGACAAAGATATTTTGCTATTAAAGTGGTTGGAAGGAAATTCTGCCTGCCGAGCTAGCGTTGGGCTCTGTGGATCTTGGTGTTGCCCTTGTAATGAACTGGCTAGTATGTGCGCACCACTGCCCTCTGCTGGTTGCAACCAAAATAGCTCAGTTGTATGTGTCGTGCTCTGTACTGCTTATTGCGAAGGGAGATTCTCCTTTGGCTCAGGTGGTTTGAAGCAGGAGGATCTGAGTTCTACCCCTTCAGTCACTATAAAGTTCCAGGTGGTTGTGATGGGTAGTAACAACTGCGATGTCCTAGGTGACTATAGTTTTGATGCAACCGAATGGGCTGGATGCTGCTCCCATTTGAATTGTCAAAACTTCCTTTAGCATCAGTGGGAGGATCCAGCCCTCTGCAGCCTGTAATAGTCCTGCTTCCGTAGCACCCTTCATCAGAGGATTTCCAAGTGCTTTATAAAAACAGGTTGAACCTCTCTAGTCTGGGCCCCTCAGAATTTGGCTGATGCTAACACTCCTCCAACCCCCGGGAGGTTGATATTATCTAGCAGCATTACCAGCACTTCCATTGCTTACTGGGCTCTTTGATGAAATAACTACCAGCACTTCCATTGCTTACTGGGCTCTTAGATGAAATAACACAGAACACTGAGCACCGGGACTGGTGGCTGGAAACAAACTTTTATGGGACCGCAGAAAACTTGGCCATATCCAAGATAAGTGGACATCTAGCTAACTAAAATCATGCTGGACCACAGATGTTACTGGACCAGAGAGATTCAGCCTGCAGTAAGTTCCCGTAATGCCCAGGGAGGTAGGGAAGGATCCTCTGTTATAGAGGGGTAGCTGAGATGTGGAAGAGCAGCAAAGTCATTTACTCACAGTAACACAATGAGGTGGTGACAGGAGATGAATCTAGAGTCCTGACGCCTCGTTGCCAGGTGGAACCACTAGGCCAAACTGCCCGGGAATTGTTTTTCACGCGCAGCGGCTTGTGTGGCAGGAATGATTAAAAACCCTGCACGAGCTTGTCTGAGAGTTCGGTCTTTGTGCTGCTGCCTGGCCTTGGTGATGTGGCTGCCTCCTGTGAGCTGCTTTGGCCTGACTCTTGGGTTTCCTTTCAGAGCAGCGCGCCCTGAGGGATCTGCAGCTGCAATGGGCCCGGCAAAGCACCCAGCGGAGGAAGAGGATAGTCCTGCAGGCCTGGCGCTGCTGCGCCGCCAAGTGCAGAAGAGCCGCTTTGTGCGGGGAGCGTCTCCTCCTGCGCAGGTTTGTCTGCTCCCCTGGAGGCCTTTCCTAGGGATAGAAATGTCACTAGAGCTGGATCTGACCTGCACGGGGGGAGCTGGAGGCAACAGTTCAGGGGAATCTTGCATGACTGATGTTTCTGTGGAAATGCTCCCTTCCTTCCCCCTTCTCTTCTGCCCCCGCTTTGCTGCCGAAGTCCTGTGTGTGGCATAGCCTGTCAGAGTGGCAGTGACCCATAGCCCGATGCACCTCAGGAGTTCAGGGCGTGAGAACATGTCTTACTGGAGAAGGTGGCCTGGGAGAAGTGAAGTGACCCAGCTTGAGTGAGCGATTGTGCAGCCTTCCCTGTTTATAGGCCTTTGACTATTTCCGCTCTCAGATGGGGAGAGCAGAAGAGGAGGGTTATTCAGTCTTCGCAAGGAGTTTCCCCTGGTCTCTGCCAGGTAGGGTCAGGCCCATTGGAGTCTCTTTGAATAGCTCTCTCCAGGCTGTCTGCCTGCTTTGTGAGACTGCTTTGCAAGTGAGTAGGGTCATGCCAGGGATGAACTGGGCCCTCTATGTGCTAGGGCCCTGGCCGCCTGACACTCTGGGCTCAGTGCTGAAGGTGTCAGGGTTACAACTAGGCCCCACTTATGACCCCTGTGTTCACATCCTTATGACCCCTGTGTTCACATCCATGCTCCCTCCAGCTGCCAAGACCCCCAATGCCTTTAGAAAGGTTAATCGGTCACCTTCCAGCCATTTGGCTTTGGTTAATAACCCCCTAGTAGGCAGTACCAATTCCGGCGCTTTGCTGTATGTGCTAAGCTGGATCAGGTCTTGGATGGCAGAAAGCAAGAAGCTTTTCCTTTTGAAGATCCCCTTTACAGAAGGGCCTTGTTGCTGGGGATCCCAGGTCAGGCAGCAGGGGCCTGAGAAGCAGAATCTCTGCAGGAGTTCGCCCAGTGGGGCAGGAAGGAAAGATCTGCTTAGCCGAGAGGGAAGAGTCTATTGAATGGGGCTGGAGAAGAAGATGCAGGAGTGTTCAGGGAGAAGGGCTGGTAGGAATAATCTGTGGAATAGAGGATTGTTTTGATGGAGCTGAGTCTCCTGTGGTTTGACTCCCCTCTTCCCCCTGTATGTTCAGAGGAGAAGTTTGTTGGTTTTAAGGTGTCTCCAAGTTTAGCATGGGCTAGTGTCACTGCTTGGGACTCAAGCACAGGGGACAGAAGCGATCTTTTCTGAGCAGAAAACAACCCGTGGTGCCCGTCAAGCTGCTGTTTTCCAAGCCCACAAGCTAGAGGAGGATACTACCCAAAGAGGAGGATACTACCCAAAAAGCTACTGGCCTCTGGGGAAACATGGTACTGCAGGAGAGCTAATAGGCACCCACCCTGTGGGTCTTTCAGAGCTGGAAGCTGGTGCTCAGCAGGAGACCTGGCGTATACAAGCGGGTCCGTCCTCTTTCCTGGTATGAGCAGACCTTGCAGCAGAGACGCGAGAGCCAGCGAGCCTAAGAGATCCAGAAGGAAAGCGAAGAGGGCTGTGCAGTGAAGCACTGGAATCAGGCTGTCGCAGCACGTGCTGTCCATGTGCAGCAGATCCCATTCCACCAGCGTCACAAGCCAGCTGTGAAACGTGCCTTAAGTCATCGCCTGAGGGCTGTAAAATTGGGTACCTGGCAGCGATGGGTCTTCAAGGCCACCTGAACTGTCCCGGCAATTCTAGGCATGATCATTGCAGGGTGGTGACTGAGATCCATAGCGCAGGCCTTGCGCAGCCTGATGGGTAATAATATGAACTAGACGTACCTAGTACAGAGAATTTTTGTTCTTTCATGTTAAGTGAAATCCCTTTCCCACTGAAGCCCCACTGACTTCCTAGAGTCAGGATTTCACCCCACCAGGTTAAAAATCCTGATTTTAAAAAATGAGCTCCTCTCTTTTCCTGTGTTACAAATAACATCGTAGATTGTTACAAGTGAGAATTTTAAAACTCTAATTTGCCTATTCCCCTATTTCTGCGTTTCTCCGAGCAGGCCGCGTAGACAAACTATTGATGATTGTCCCTAGTCACTTTTGCTTGCCAGCCCTTCTGCGCTCAGGGCTGCAATGTGTGTGTTGCAAACGCAGCAAGAGAGATCAGTCTTTGTGTGTGTTTAAAAAAGCAACCCCCTCTTTCTTCTGGAGTTGCACAAGTCCCATGTTTGGGGGCCTGAGCACTTGGGAAATCGCTTCTTTACTGAGCCTATGAATGTGAAAAGTTGGAGTAAACGATCTTGTGGAGAGAAGCAGTGTCCATAGAAAACAAGGAGATGAAACTATCTACTGAACCATCACACGCTTCTCATCTGGACCCATTTTACTTGGGGTTGTGGCTTAAACCTGTAAAGCTGTTCGTATTTTTCACAACCTCAAGCTAAAGCCAGACCCTAAGGTCCTCATCCGGAACCAGCATGTTTGAAGCAAAACAAGGAGGAATTCTGCATATAACTATTGGCACAATATAACATCGGTTTTGTTCTGATCTTTTGGTGACGTCAACGAGGACTCATGGCTGGTCTATGGGGCAAGTTATTGCATAACAAGCCAGCATATGACTCTTCTGCACACCAGCTTGCTACCTGCGACTGCCCCCTGTGGATCCTGCTACAGGACACTAGAAGTCCAGCTCTGCTGCTCTAAGCCTGCAGGATTTGGCCCTATAGACTTTCTTGTATGGGGTCAAATTTCCATTAGAAAGCAGCAGAAACAAAAAACCGGTGACCACAAGCTCCCTCTAACTGGGATAGCGATTCAGTCCATGTAGCAACTGTCCCAGAAGGTGTTTGAGAGAGACTCAATTTTTCCTCTGCCTGCTGCGTGTCTGTCTGTCAATAATCTTTCCACTGAGCACTTCTTTGATAGGGAAGCACTTCCCGATTTCCCACCTGAGCATGCTACAGGCTGAGCCGTGCCGCCTCTGAAGGGGGGCATTTTTCATGCTTGGATAACCCACTATAGATGCTCTTGATCTCAAGAGAGGCCTGTCAAATGGAGAATATTTACACCTCAATCCTACAGCACAGTGGGATGACTTGTATAATGGAAACCCTGGTGGAGCAAGGAACAAAGAAGCAGGCCAGAAACTAAAAGTGCATTGGCCTATGAATCTGCAGCAGAAAGCCCCGGTGTATTTCATGTCCGTGTGTTAGGCTTTGGCTTCAACGGGAAGTCCTTCTGGAATAAGGTAGGGTGGGAACTGAAAGTGCAATAGCTTTTCTGGAATAAGAGCTTGCACACCGAAAGCTATTGTGGGATAGGTCTTGTGCTCAGTTTCTCCATGGAGACAAGCCTGTAATTGATCCATATACAAAGCAAAACAGATATAAAACCTTCTTTTTCATTTCTAATCAATCTGCTCCAATCCAGCCCAGGCGTGTGTCTGCCAAGTATGGTGATAGGCTGTTGGTGTTCTTGCTTCAGTTCCCCAAAGAGAGAGAAAATGTGGGCTCTAGGGATGTGAGTGTGTACCTGTTGAAATGATTAACTGATCATCCTGGGCGCATTGGTTAATCCTAATGATTACATGCAACCGTCTCCCCCCCCCGCCCCCCCGGCCTCTGTATCAGAGGCAGGGGGGAGGCAGGAGCTGGTGCACATGGAGGCAGCACCGCTGGAGGTGGAGGTAGGCGGGAGCTCCTCTTCAAGTACAGGCTTCTGTCGAGCTGCCTTCCCCCCCATCTCACACTGCTGCCTCCCACAAAGGCAGCAGCAGTGGGGAGGGGTCAGGCACGTACCAACTCCCAGAGCCACCTGCCCACCCCCCCGTCTTGGATACAGAGGCAGCAGGGAGGGCAGATGGGAGCTGCCTACCTCCCTCCATGCTGCTGCCTCCCACTGAGCATGAGCACCAGCTCCTGTGGAGCTGTCTGTCTCCCACTCTGCTGCTCTGATACAGAGCACCGACTCCCGTCTGGCCCCCAGCGATCACAGGTTTACAGAATTAAACGCATTTTAATATCCCTAGTGGACTCCAGTTGATGACACTGGAACCCATCTTGATAGGGAGGAAATGGCTGATCGACTGTGAAGTCTGAACTGCCTTCCTAGCCCTGGCCTGGCAGGCCGTTTCTTGGGGTTCCGTGCCGTGTGGGGGTAGCGTGCCCACGTGGTCTCTGGGCAAAGCAGGCTGTTAGTATCCAGGGCTCTTGCTCGGACGCCTTTTGTGAGCGTAACATTCATGCGATCGGAGCCTCTGCACTGCTAAGCGTCCCAGAGACTCATCGTTACAATGCGACTGAAGGAAGCTGAGGTAAGCACAGACTGGTAACCTGCTGGGAAAGGCTATGTGAAGCGATTGGGAACACTGAGCAGAAAGCGGCTGCAGTGCAGAAATCTGGAGCTATTTCACCCCATTCTCCCACTGCACAGGATGAAGGGGGGGGGGGTAACACTGCTGCCAGCGGCACAATGTGATCTGGTAGCTTTTTGCATTTGCCCTGAGCAGTTGTAAACGACCCCACTGGATGGCCGGCAGGGGAGACTCGGACTCAGGCCTAGGCCTGTTTGTCTCTAACTGGGGCAGAAATGTTACCGGAGGCACCTGCGATTACTGATTCTTTTCCAGGGTCCTAGTAGCCTGGGCCCAGGTTACCATCTGTGGACACGCGCAGCATGAAGCCCTCGCCCAGTTTGAGCTCGCCAGGCAGCGGCGTAGCCTCGCGCTCTGTTTTGCCCGGTGGAGGACGGGGGTCTTGAGAGCTCAGAAGTGGCCAGGGGAAGATGGCAAACAACCCAGGCCTGCTTGGGCTAAATCCTTTCAGCGCTGGAGAGTGGCCACTAGGGGGCATCAGGCCCTGCACTTAGGCTCCACGGCTGTGGTGAGACAGGTGAGCAGCGTCTGTAGGAGACCACTCCGTGTTCTACAGCTGGGTCACGCCACTCAGATACTCAGTGAGAGGGCTCTGCTCAAAACTTAGATCCACAGGCTCTGATTGTGGGCTTGGGTCTGCAGCTCTGCTTGGCCTCTTCTCTGGAAGTGCTTTGCCAGCTGTAGCCGTGCTGCTTGGCCGCTGACATGCAGCCACCTCTGAGGTTGAGCATCACACTAGCCAGCAAGCAAATCCCCTGCTCCTACAAAAGGTGCCACTGGGTAATTTATGCCCCCCCAGAGCAGACTGGCTCTTGGTTAACCTAGCCCTTTGGGTCAGGCCCACTGCCAGCAAACTGCCTAGGTCTCTGTTTAGTTTGAAGGCTTTAGTCAGCCCTGCTGGGATTTGACCCAGTGTGGTGTGTCAAACTCGGGGCTTAGCTCGAGAAGCCTCCCCTCCCCGCTGCTTGGATAAACCCCTGTGTTTATATGGTGGGTGGGTGGAGGGGTTCTCCCCCTCCTTGCTTTTGTGTTAGATCTTGACCTCTGCTTTGTAAATTCTGTCCTCAGGCCTGCAAGTACTGGACGAAAGCAGCCGCCTTGTCCCTGAGTGCCCGGCAGCAGTGCACCCTGATAGGAGTCAGGAAGTGCAGGAAACTGCCTCTGTCTTGGTCACGCAGTAAGAAACAAACCTGCCTTCACCTTCCTGGGGGGTGTGCAGGGGTTGTTGGTGCATGTGGGTTTCTGTCTAGAAGGGAACCATCCACTGTTCCCTCTAATTTTTTTCCATTCATGCGCAGAATAAGATTTATGTGCCCTAAGGCACGTGTGGATGTGCACCACCTGTAGAAGCACATTGGCAGAGCGCCCACAGCTGGCAATCAGTTGGGTGGCACCTAAATCTCTCCTGGGTGGCCGCCTAAGTGCTCAGCTTACAGGGAACACTAGAGTCCCCTGCTTGAGCTCTTCTGTAAATGAGTTGGTCATTAATTTAACAGGATGGAGGGCGTGCTCTGTCCGGGGGGCTCTTGGAGTTAAACAGAGAAGAACTCCTGCCAGCACTTTATATTGCCACAGTGTCATTCCTTTTGTAACCGCTGTGTCTCCTCCCACAGAGTCAAGACGATGCATTGAAAATGGTCTTGGACCAAGCACAGCGTCTTACCATAGGCTCCTTCCCAGCTCTTTCCGTCGCTGGCTGGTGATCTACAGAAACCAAAGCAGGAAAGAGAGGCTGCCAGTTCATCAGCTTTTGGAGAGGCCCGATATGATGGAAGGGGCACGTGGACATGCCTGGCCCCAGGAGAGCCGCACCGAGCTGGTACCAGATGAGCAGTATAGACGATGGCTTGGGTAAGCACAGGCTGGACTGGATCTGAACAGGGTCAGCACCAAGGGGAAGGAATCACGGGTAACCTGGCTGTCCAGTTCAGGTTGTGTTCCCAGCAGTCAGCACGGGCTGGTGAAGATGGACGTATGTGACCTAGCAGGACTGTTGTTTTTCCATCTCTAGGGGGGCTGGGCATATGGCCTGGCTGTTGAAATGGAAGGAGCGTTGCTTAGGTCTCACTTACGTGCATGTGCCTGGTTTCCGTGCTGCTGGGAGGCAGCTCCATGAACCATTTCTTGTGCTCTCGGGGCTCTGAAGCAGGGAAGGGGGCCGGGACAGCGGACTGGGGATGGGATCTGGATTTTTACTTCTGGGTCACTGGTCTGCATCTGGACCAGGTGGGTAGTGACTGAAAGCTGTTACCATCGTACAGACTATGCAGAGTAGGAGGGAGGGGGTTGTCAGTCCAGGCCCTGTGGGAAGTCATTGTTGGGGCACGTTGGCAGGGCAGTGGGGGAAAGTCAGCCCCTTTGAGTGGAGAAACAGAGCCCTTCAGCATGCCGGGTTGTTAATCTGACCCCTTCTCGCTGCACTAAGTGTACCAACCGAATGAGCAGCGAGGAGGCTGGTGTCCTTGTTAGAGAGGGCAGTGAGTCATGTCTTGTCCTTACGGCCCATGGGGAGCGCACAGTAGAAGTGCTGCGAGTCGCCGTTCACTGGTGTAAGGAGCTGAGTGCAGGTTAGACCTAAGAGCTGCCAGCATCACTCCCATCCTTGCCTCGCGCAGTGTCAGGTGCCCTGAGAACCTGTCAGGTGCCCTGTCTGCTGAGGAGAGCAGCAGCAAGTGCAGCTGTCAGTGTGAGCACGTTCCTCTCCCTTCTCCGCCTCCAGGACAAAGTACCTGCGGCGATGGCGACACAACATGCTGCTTCGCCGGTTCCGGCGCGACAGGAGGACGCGCTCTTTGGCGAGTGGGTGGCTGCAGTGGAAGGACGCCTGCAGGACAGCACTGATCGTGCGGGTGCTGGTGAGTGCTTGCCTGGGCCCTTCTCCTGTGTCTCTCAGCTTAAAGCCCTTTCCAAACCTCCACCCTCCTGGGAGGTGAGTGAACGCCTCATCCCCCCTCACAGAAGGGGAAGTGGCTTGCCCCTAAGTCCATGGCAGGAGTGACACGAGAGCCGAGGACTCCTGTCTCGTGTCCCTGACAAATAATTAACCCACATGGCTTGCTCAGGGCCCTCCTTCCTCCTTTACTTCCTGTCCTTCCCACTCATCTATTCAATGCCCATGACGATTGGGACCTGTTCTAAGCCCCACCTGAGGTCCCAGCAACTCGTTCAGCTGGTCTCTGGCCCCTTGTGGACCACACCTAGAGCTCTGCTGGTAAGCAGGGACCCTGGCCCACAGTTTAAACAACCTGAGTGCTGGCTGAGGAGGGGGAAGGAGATGCGTGGCCCAAACCAAGTGACTGAGCAGTTTGCTGCAGGAGTCTTGTAAGCTCGGCGGAAGGGACATGGTGTGAGTGATGGAGGCAGGGCTGGGGGAGGCAGGCCAGGTTTTTGGAGCTGGAAATGTTGCTGCTGAGCAGATGAAACCAATCATGTGGGCCTCCTGGGAGTAGCCTGAGAGGTCTGGCCAAAGGCCACAATCATGCAAAGCAGAAATGGGGTTGAACAAAACGGTGTAAGAAGGGGCAGGGACCTGGAAGCCTAAGAGGCAGATAGTGCTGGGCAGGGGGAGCTCATCTCTGGGCTGTTTTCTCCTCACAGGTTGGGCAGCGGCTGCTGGAATGGGGCTGGAGGATCTGGAGGAGGCGGTACCTGCAAAGCCGGGTGTCGCAGGGTTTCCTGGAGGGTGAAGACCGGAGCCTGCTGACCAGGGTAGGAGCTTATTGCTCTTGCAGTTAGTAGCTGCAGCATCGTTCCTATGGCCTACAAATCATTTTGTATTATGGGAGCACCTAGAAGCCCCAACCAAGTTCATGCCCCGTCGTGCTGGGCCCTGCACAAATACCTGCTGAGAGATGGTCTCTGCCCCCAAAGAGCTTACAGGCTAAAAAGTCTAGATCCCAGAACTATTACTGCCAAGCCCCGGTACACAGAGCTGCAGGGAAGAGGTGGGAGCAGAGGGCACCGAAGGGAATGGTGGGTTTTCATGCTCATCCCATTGTAGCAGG